AACGAAAATTCAAGTCACTTTTTCTCTTGCCCATTATGTATTCTTTCTTCCTCTAAAATTTTCATGATTAATTTATAATTTGAGTTTTTGATTTTGATTCTTCATGGGTTTTAGGAGAACATGTAGGATCCTTCTTTAAAAATGTAGAAGAAATTGTTTTGTTTTAGTTTCTTTTAATAAGTTTGAAGATATTTTTTAAATATACAATTACTTCACTTTGATTTTGTTACTCTTGAATCCATGACTTTAAAAAATAATAATTCATGGGTATGTTTTGTTTAAAATAAGTTTAATTTGTTAGATATGTTCTAAATAAGTGAAAAATTATTTATTCATAAAATACATTAATTGTTGATAATTTTTATACCAAACATCTATTTAAAAAGCTTCAACAATGATGATGGTGAAAAGGGTATAGTTGTATAGATAAATAAGAAGAAAGAAAGAAAAAGAAAAAAGAAAATTAGAAAAAAAACAGAAATTAAACAAAAAAATAGGCAAGCATACACTCTCTAAGCCAACTTAGCACTCAAGGGGTTATTTATTCCATTTTAAAGTAGTTCAGGGGATAATAAGGACCCCGCGAAGAATAGGTGTGTAGTTAAAAATTCGGTAATAGGTTGGGAGGTCATTTGGCCATTTTCTCTATTCTAATTTACATTTTCTTTTATCTTGCATGTGTGTTTTAAATTTATTTTCTCCTGTTACATTTGCATGTGTACGAAACATTTGTTTTTCCTTCACTTATTCTAGGGATTCTGAGGTAATGTTTGACCGAAGTAAGTCACTACTTAAACTAATTCATCAAAATAATATGTTTTTAATTTTTTTTTTACAAAACTAGAATAAACGTATTTGGTAGTAACGTTTTAGGTATTATTTTATTAAAAAATAATCAATGACAAAAAGACAAAATTTTGACAGAGTAAACAGATATAAAACGTTATTGTCAAATACGTTTTATTAATTCGTTACTCACAGTCACGTTTTAAGGCTAATACGTTACCGACAATAACGAATCTTTAAGCAGAAACGTTACCGAGTGTCTACACGATGATGCTCTCGATTTCTCTAATGACAAAATTTTCTCCATTAATAGCACCCCGTCTGTCACCACCATCAACCTCACTCCCACAACTCCGCTACCAATTTCTACGACGCTCTTCTTTCCAATTCCGACGACGACTTCAAAGGCAACCTTGCGTTTCCCTAAGAATTTCCGGACTCCTTTATTCAACCGTACTTAAAATACGACCAAATAAAAGTGTATTTTTATATATACCATGTTGAATTCACCATATCAATTCAATCTTAATGCTTAAATTGATATTAGGTAGAATTTTCTTGTGTGTCATGTGTTGAGAAATTACTGTTTTTAGTACCAATTTCTTTCTGCTTTTTCATTACAAAGTGATGAGTTAGAATGAGTATCAAAATTTGTAGAAGATTCATTTAGTAATTTTCCAGCTAATTTCACTATCGGTGAATCTCATTTCACAACAGGTCAAGAAGCAAACGTTCTCGTTCCACTTCAAGATGGACATCCTCACTATTTAAGATGAATCCTCAATTTTAAATAGATAAAAATTCAAAATTTAACAAGAAAGAGGCGCTTGGAAAAATGAATTAAGTTCTTCCTGAATACTAGAGATTATTTAACAAGAGTGTGGTGATAGTAACTAATGGAGTAAATTGGATTCTAAAGAGTTGTTATTGTCAATAACGTTTTAGCCTTAAAACGTGACAATAACGAATCAATAAAACGTATTTGATAGTAACGTTTTACTCTGTCAGAATTTTGTCTTTTTGTTATTGATTATTTTTTAATAAAATAATACCTAAAACATTACTACCAAATACGTTTATTCTAGTTTTGTAAATTTTCAAAAAACATATTATTTTGGTGAATTAGTTTGAATAGTGACTTACTTTGGTAAAAAATTCTTATGTATGTGGCTGATATTAGTTTTTTCTGTTTTGTTTTGGTATATTGATGAATTTTGAAAGTAGTTTTGAAGTGTGGTTTTGTAATCCCAAATTTTCTCAGCTATTTGAGGTGTAGTTTCGAATTGTGGTTTGTTGTTTTGACCTAGCGTTTCTGCCTAGGCTTTTTTTGTGCTCTCCTCGGAATGGTTCTACTCGGCAATGAGAAGTAGAGATAGGGATAGAGAGGATGAGTGAAAATTTTGAATGTTGAAAATGGAGTAGAGAGAACAAACTGTTGAGTCTTGTTTCCTAGATATTTTGCAGCTAATAAGCTCTATTAGTTGTTAAATGATATTGAACCAGTCATTACTTGATTCTCTTTTCGATTTCCCATTTATGAACTTAATGTGGTTGTTGTATACGAGCCAAAGTTCTACAAGTTTCTAGGTTGTGGTTAACCACATTACATTCTGTCTCTCGTTCAGTTGTATGGTGGTTCATCTTGAGTTACTTGCTTAGATTTTACCATTCACTTTGTTCTGGTTGTATATTGAATTATTGGGATTAAATAATTGATATTTAGTTCATTTTTGAGCTGTATATATCAACTTAGTATTGTGAAGCTCAAACTGTCACACGTTACATTGCAATTTGCAACCAACTTGGTGCTTTTTGTATTGTTTTTCAGTTTTCCTTTGAGATGTTCATGTATATGTGCTTTTATACCTTATTATCCCATAATATTAATACAAGTAACTTTTTGCCTTTTTGCTTGTTGTTTTGTACCTGCGTATATCCTGTTTTTGCAAGCCGAAAGGGTCCTTTTCTTTTTTTAACTGCCTCCAATGATCATTGATAAGAAGGAGTTACATTTTAAAGTTTGGTATACCAAACTTAATACAAGATCTTGGGGTAGAAATAGAGTTAGATAAGCTCTACAAGTTAGCTATTACTCTACTAACTTGTGACAAAGAGGATTCAGAGGGGTTCGTAAATAAAATTGGTTTAACCTGTTGCATTCTGAAGGAAGGGAGCTTCCATCTATCTTTGTTGATTAATCCTCTAACTTCCCTCAGGAGATTAGAGAAAGAGTTGAAATCATGTATTGCATCAACACTATAGAATGTTCTGTTTTAGAGTTTAATAATTTCTAGAAAGGATTGGTAGAAGTGTATATTCAGGTAAATTTAGGAAAATCTGCTTGTCATGACCCTGTAGCTTAGTGGTGTTCACTTACTAGACGTCCTTATTCTTGCTACTTATGTAAGAAGCCATATATGCAATAGACAACCTAAATGTAGGTAGATATAAATAAAGATAAGTAAAACGGAAAATGGTCAAAATCCCCTTAAACTATGTGAAATTGAATAAAAATGTGTCATTAAGACATTTCTACCTATTAAGATTCAATTGGACTGTCACTTGTGGTATCACCCTTATGAGATGTTGAAGACCTGTCAACAGAAAACTCTAAGAAGGCCTCATCAACAAAGTACAAAGTTATTTAAACTTTTAATTAGAATGTAAGACTTTTATATTTCTTATACGTATGGCTGTAACATTTCCATAGTACAGAAGGATATCTGAATTATTTTTCATCTTCAGGAATTTGAAAATTTTGCCTTTAATTTTTATTTTACAACTCAATAAATTTTTAGATAGTTTTAGTTTGATTATCTCTAAACAGTTTATACCATTCACATTGGGTACACGTGGAGAAAATGACATAAATAGTCCTTTAACTATAGGAGTAGGTTTAAAATGGTCCCTTAACTATACACTTAACGGATTTAGTCCTTTAACTATTCAAAAACTTATCAGTTTTGGTCCCTTAACTATACACTTATCGGTTTTAAGTCCCTTAATTATAAATTTACCGATTTTAGTCCTTTAAGTATTCAAAAACTTATCAGATTTGGTCTTTGTCCATTTTTTAATTCAAATAGCTTAGGTTTATATTAACCGAAATCTTCGTGAAATTAAATCTTTAACCCCATTTTTTAAGTTGTTTCTCTATCCCCGCCCTTTTTCTTCAAAACTACTCTTATGAAAAGAATAATAACGTCAACGATTCAAAATAAAATTAATGAGAAAAGAAGATATAAGTCCTAATTTTATTCAATGGAAGATAAAATTAAACATATAATTGTTGTTAATGACTTGAATCCGCACTTGAATATGCTAATCAGTGTGGATTTATTAATTTACTCAAATTTCTATACGTAAAATAAAATGAATAGAATAATAAAATTGATCTATTTTTAAAAAATTTAAAAAAATTGCAATTCTATATTATAAATCCGCACTTGAATATGCTAATCAGTGTGGATTTTATTTAATTTACTCAAATTTCTATACGTAAAATAAAATGAATAGAATAATAAAATTGATCTATTTTAAAAAAATTTAAAAAAATTGCAATTCTATATTATAAATTTCAATTTCTGAAAAATTAAACAAATTCTGTTCAATGAAGTCGTTGGAGTACAAACTTTGGATTTAACGGGTAATATATTTTTTCTTTTTATAATAAAGTTTAGTGCATTCAAGTCCTTAGTAGCAATAATATGCTTCATTTTATTCTCTGTTGAATAAAATTCTGACTTATATTTTCTTTCCTTCTGAATTTTATTTTAAATCGTTGAGGTTAAGGTTCTTCGCATATGGTTAATTTGAAAAAAAAGTAGCGGAGAGAGAGAAACAATAGAAAAAAGTTGCTAAATAATTTAATTTCTCAAGGCATGGATTCCGTTAATATAAACCTAAGTTATTTGTATTTAAAAAATGGACAAAGACCAAACCTAATAAATTTTTGAATACTTAAAGGACTAAAATCGATAAGTTTATTGTTAAGAGACTAAAACCGATAAGTATATAATTAAAGGACCAAAGTTGATAAGTTTTTAAATAGTTAAAAGACTAAATCCATTAAGTATATATTTAAGGGACCATTTTAGACCTACTCCTATAGTTAAAGGACTATTTATGTCATTTTCTCGGTACACGTGCAACATGTCTCTCCAGAGACTACTAATTGGACTAAAATTCAATAGTTACAGGGAATAGAGGTCGTTCATTGATGTCAATTCCAAACACTGACACTACAATGAAAGGAAATAACAACTGGAAAAAAAAGACAGGAATATCAAATTAAGTAGCACGGTAATAGAACGTCCCTGAAAGAACTAAGATCGTCATATCAATGCATCAGATATGAAGTTTTATTCTCAAGCCTTGCACCTATTTCCCTTATTCTTCTCAATTAACAGCTCTTAGGCGTACTTATTGGCAATGCTCAGAAGAGCAGTAAATAGTTGTTGGGGCTTAGACATCATCATCATTGTGTCAGAGCCCTGGATCTCTTCCACTTCATCTGGTGGATTCTTTTCAATCATCAACCATTGAAATTCCTTCTTCAGAAGTTTATCGTCAACAGCAACAATGAATGCTCGCTTAACTGATCCATACCTTTTGTTTGTAATAACTATCTCCTTAGAAACATTTTCCACACTGTAAAAGTGTATTGGCCTTACTAGTGTATAGGCCAATGCCAAATCCTAACACCAAGAAGGAAGAAAACCCGATTTAAATCAGTAACAAGTCGTTGCCATGACGTACTTGAATAGATCTGTAATTTGGATTAACTATTGAAATCTTCCAATCGGTGATGCCTACTAATATTTTTTGTCAAAAGAAATCACTTTAGGGCCATTCTCATGACCAGAATAGTTATAGTATATATTTGAATTATGCTTTGCTTACCTGAATTGGGCTCCGCTGGTAAAGGTTAGTTTTAATGTACTTTGGACCTAGGATGAAGGTGGTTGGAGGATTCGTTGGCCCATTATCGTATATAACACAATTATCAGGTTGAGATACTGACTTGAGTAACTGTAACAAAGGATATTTAGTTCCAAACGTGTAAAAGCATAAACAAACATAACAGATCATCTCATTGCTAAAGTTGGAAATATAAAACATTTGGTACCTCATTGTAGACGGTGGTTACATTGATATTTGGACCAGGCATCAGACCAGTGACAAATACAGCAACTGAAATCTTTTTTGGAAAGGTCTCCATGGCTTTAGAAATGGCTAAGCCACCAATTTCATGGCCTACAAGAACAACTATTTCATGTGCAGTAAGAGAAGCCATGAACTCCATTAGTGGACTCAAGAAATCAGAAAAATGTGGGACTTGGAAGGTCTGTTTCGGGTTAATTCCTGAAGCACCCAAGTCCAGAGCTGTGACATTATGCCCTGAAGATCTCATCAATGCCACAATCTTGTACCAGGTCCAGGCTCCATGGCATCCCTTATGAACTAGCACAAAGTGCTTCTTAGCTTTAGGCCCTGGCAAGGCTGCATTTGCATATGACAACAAAAGTATTAGAACTAGACTTACTAAAAACTTGCTTTTCTCCATATCTTTTTCCCTTCTTTTGAAGAATGAGTACATCATATGAACCATTACAAGGGTAGCTTTTATAATTGGAGGATGTTTGATTTCTGCTAAGTAATAGGGGCTGGTGCAAACCTAGAAATTCCGTGTTAATTCATCTAAAAGTTGGGCTGATTTTTGATTAAATATGTAGTCCATAGACCATAGTACTGTTCCATAAGATTACTTTTCAATCTTTTGTTTTCATATTTGTTTGATATATTACTTTTGTTTTCATGTTTGTTAGATATATTAGATTTAAGAAAAATGTTTTATTTAGTAATTAACTAATATATTAATCTCTACTTTTGCCCCTATTTATATTGAGTGTTTCTCTTGGTAGTTTAATCATTCACCAATTCAACTTAAGGAAGAGATGAATAATAAAAATGTTTAACAGCCTTAAAATTATGACCATGTAATCTATTCCTTCAACTTTTTACACTGAATCAACCCTCCATTCTTTGAGTCCACTGGAGCTACCTTATCTTCATTCGATACAATAAACACTCAAGTAATTACATGAAATAGAAATAGAGGTTGTTTATTGATGTCAATTCCACACTGAAATTATAATGGAAGGAAATAACAACAGAAAGAAAATGATTGAAATGCCAAATCAACTAGTTCGGTAATAAGCTAAGGACTTTGATGAAAGTACTGAGATCGCCATATAAATGCATCAGATATGTGAATTGACTCAAGTTTTATTACCAGCCTTACACATGTCTGCCTTATTCTTCTTAATTAATTAACAGCTACTATTATTTGAGGCATTAGATTTTTAAAGGAGTTTGACTTCTCCTAGCTTGCTTAATTTAGGCTCATGTAGGCTAGCTGTTATTTGAAGAATATTTGGGCAAGCAATGTAGTAGGGGCTGGTGCAAGCCTGGGGATTGTAGCCATGATTGCAATGTCGAATTAAAAGTTTGAACAACATTTCAATGGCACTTTAATCTGTCTTTCACAAGAAATACTGAAATAACAATGAAAGGAAATAACAACTGAAAGAAAATGATTGAAATGTCAAATTAAATAGCTCGGTAATAGGACATCTATGGAAGAACTGAGATCACCATATAAATGCATCTGATATGTGAATTGACTGAAGTTTTATCCTCAGCCTTGCACATGTACCCCTTATTCTTCTTAATTAACACCTCTTAGCTATACTTATTAGCAATGCTCACAAGTGTAGTAAAAAGTTGTTGGGGCTTAGAAATCATGGTCATATCACATATGGTCAGAGCCCTGGATCTCTTCCACTTCATCTGGTGGATTCTTTTCAATCATCAACCGCTGAAATTCCATCTTAAGAGCTTCATTTTCAGTAGCAACAATGAACACTCACCTAACTGATCCATATCTTTTGCTTGAAAGAACTATCTCCTTAGAAATATCTTCCCCGCTGTATAAATAAAATGGCCTAAATAGTGTAGTGGCCAGTGCCAAATCCTAACACCAAGAATGGGAAAAAAAAATAAAACCTAATTAGTTCAAAGTTGATGTTGAGATAAACTATTAAAATCTTCCAGTAATGACCGGAATAACAGAACGTATTAGCTATTTCAATTACATTATGATTTTTTTTACCTTAATTGGGCTCAGCTTATAAACACAAGTTGCCAAGTAGTTCAGACCTGGGATGAGAGTGGTTGGAGGATTTATAGGTCCATTATCGTATGTAATACAATTATCAAGTTGAGCTATTGTTGCATTGATTGCCTATAATGAAGTATATTTAGTTTCAAATATGTATAAGTTTAAACAAACATAATAGATCTATCATCTACTGGCTCAAGTTATGAATATCAAAAATTGGTACCTTAAGTGTAGATATGGTGGTTGCATTGATATTTGGACCAGGCATTAGAGCACTAAGAAATACAGCAACTGAAATCATTTCTGGAAATGTTTCCATGGCTTTAGTAATGACGAGTCCACCAAAGTTATGGCCTACAAGAACTACTTTTTTATCAGCAGGAAGTGAAACCATGAACTCCATTAGCGGACTTAAATAATCAGATAAATGTGGGATTTTGAGGGCCTGTTTGGGGTTGATTCCTGAAGCACCCAAGTCCAGAGCTGTTACATTATGCCCTCATCAACACGACAATCTTGTACCAGCACCAGGCTCCATGGCATGACGTATGAAGTAGCACAAAGTGCTTCTTAGCTTTAGGCTCTAACACAGTATCATTGCTTTTCTCCATATCTTTTTTCTTTCTTTTGAAGAAGGTGAAACATTACAAAGGTAGCTTTATGAACTGAAGAAAACTGTGAGCATACAAGCTCATAACACCATTGATGAACTTAGAGAAGAAACTGGAGAGAGGAAGAAATGAGAGAGAATTTTATTAATCTGAATCTGGATACTTTTACAAGTGAGATACACCCACAGATTTATAGAAAGCCAGAAGAAGAAAAAATATCTAATCTACTAACTAACTGATTCATCAGCACAGTAATCGAGGTAACTAACTAGCACTAACTAACATTCTGAAATGACTGAAATGACCTTCTAACTAACTCATGGATTAGTAACTACCTTCTGAATGTTTAGCTATTTCAACATGAACCGACGAGTTTTGGTTCCTGCAAACTTTAAGCAACCCATGGGCCATGTTGGCTATTCTTTGAGGCATTTGATGTTTTATTTAGTGGAGTTTGACTATTGAATAACTAAATTCCAAAGGTAACCCGCATTGGGTATTATTTCATAGGGGTCCTGGGTTCACCTGAATCCATTCTCCGATCATATATTAATGTTAGATTTTGCAAAAATATACTTAAATATAAATATGTGAACCGCACTTAATTATGATAATTGATGCATCTCTTTAAGTGAGGTTTAAAATTTAAGTCGCTTATGTATCTTATTTTAAATTTTTATTAACACCTTTCTAAGTTATTGTTAGTAGGGTTGTTCATGGTTATGGTTAAAAAAACTAAACCGAACCGCAATTCGGACCAAATCAATTAAAAAAAATTTAATATTTGGTTTGGTTTGGTTTTAAAATTTGAAAATCGATACTATTTGGTTTGATTTTGGTTTTACTAAAAAAAAACCGCAAAAATAACCAACCCGAACGGAACCATAAATTAGAAATATAAATTTTATAATTATTTATTAAATTTCATAAAAAAATATATAAATATTTTATTAAATTTTAATTAACTTAAGTCTTTAACTTTATCCTTTTCTCAAGCCCAACACTTGAGTCTAACTATAACAATCCTAAGTCCAAGTCCATCAAAATTCATTTTAGTCTTTACCTACCCTACTTCACATAAAATAATCACACTTTCTCTTAATTGAAGCACTTTGTTCATGTAATGATAACTCTAGTATTGCTTAATTGAATCGACAGTAGCTTTTTCGTGGATTTTTCATATACTAGGTGTTTGTGTGTATCGAGATATGTACGTCCTCAAAAAAATTATTACTTTCAAACTGAATAAATCAGAAAAACTGAACAAACCAAACCAAACTAACAGTTATTTTTTTCGTTTGGTTTGATTTGGTTTTAAAATTTTTAAAAACCGACTAGATTGGTTTGATTTTGGTTTTAATTCATAACCGATCCAAACTGAACCACGAACACCCCTAATTGTTAGCACTTGTCTTGTTCTAATTAACAAAAAAAATATTTAAATTTGAAAATGCCTAATTTTGGTTAGCACGGTACAATTTTATGTAATTAAATCAAATGAGTATATTAAAATTAGAAGTAGTAGATGTTATAACATACTGTCAGTTGGCTCAACCGATCTCAATACTTTTGACACATGTACAACAAATATATATATATAATACTATTTTAAAGATAAGAATTAATTTTGGACCTACAATTTTCTTTAAAAATTTTAACTTTATTTTTTTGCCCTTTTTTTTTTTAACAAGTTGGGAGTGAAAAATTGACAGTGTGTAACCAAATCAAGTAAAAAGAAAAAAAGCAAAAAAAATTATGATTAAAGGGACCCTTAGTTACAAAAATTATTTAGTGATGGAGTTACAGTTTTATGCATAAGTTAATCGTTTGTTTGCAAAATTAAGTATTTATTTGGAATGAACTTTTATTTACAATTATTGTTCTTGGCCTTACAGATTTAATATTGTTCCCAATAAAGAAAATTGTACTCTTCTGCAAGATTACTTGGATGGATTACTCGGTCAGTAAGATGATAGTGTAGGGTGGCAATTGGGCGGGTCGAGTTAAATTTGGACGGGTTATAATTCATGGGTTTAGATAATAATCGGGTCAAGACCCAACTGAATTCAAATTTGCTTGAATTAAAATGGGTTGCTTGAAAATGAGTTAGGTAATGAGTTATATAACAAGTCAAGACCCAACTCAATCCAATTTTTACCAAATTTAATTATTTTATTTGTTCTTTTAAAATATTTTAGTACCAAATAAAATTATTTTTCTTTATTATGGCTGTATATAACCTATTGAATTGAAATAAATATTAAAAATATTTTGACTAGATTCCTCATGATGAGCCAATTCGTATTACATATCAACCCAATTTTTAATGATTTGAGTTAAAATGGACTGAGCTAATAAATGGACGGGTCAATAATCCACCCTAACTTAAATGGGCTGGACGAACTGGACGGGTTGAATTTGATTTCTTAGATGATACCTTCTTTAAAATTATTTGGTACTATTACTATTATATCATTTTGCTTTCTCCATCTAACTATCTCAAATTAAGGAAAAATGGCAACTGAAGTAGAATCAGTAAAATAATGTCATTCGTATATAGCTATCAGTTTCTGATCAAGTGTGAGATTTAAACAAAGGTACCACCATTCATGAAATTTTACTTTACTTATGATATTTAACTGTTTGGTCTTGAATCTTAGTTAGGTAATTTACATGAAATAATTGAGGTGGTTTATTGGTGTCAATTTCAAACAGAAACTGTAATGAAAGGAAATAACAACGGAAAGAAAATGATTGAAATGTCAAATTAACTAGTTTAGTATTAAGGACTTCTATGAAAGTATGTATAGTGTCGGAGCTAGAAATTTCATGAAGAGTGTCCAAATATTACATAAGCAAATA